TGATTTCAGTTAATGGTTCACCTCTTATTGCATTGTTATCTTATTTCTGGTTTTATTGCTGATAGGCTTTATAACAGCAATTTTGCTGATGCCTAACCATTTGCAAGCTACTATGGTTTATTATTAGTCAAGCTAATTTAGTTTATTGCGAAGCTGTATGAAGCTACTACATGTTAACGGAATAATGTTGACATAGAATATGACACAATATATTACAGTAGACATAACATAAAATACAATACGATAGTCATTATAATTATATTAAACTAATCATGATTTTCTTTTCTTCTATCTCTTTCTCTGTATTTCAGTTAATCGAACATTTAAATGACCCTGAAAGAGAGACGGAAAAAGAAAGAAGTGAGATAGAAGTTTGTATGGCGTTACTGAGCAATTTACTTATTTCGCGTATATGCACTCCATTTTGGCCAACATAAAATCAGGAGAGTTGTGCTATTGTATTGTGCTTCAGTACTGATTCTGTATTGAGTCAACAAAAAAACAATGTTATGGTATTCTTCCAGTGCGTAAATTGATACTGAATAATAATACTGGGCTAGTATATTGTCAGTAGGTTTTAAGTATCCATATAGAACTGGCTAAAGAAATGTCTCTGGGTGTCCGTATCGAAACGATACACTGATATATTATCGATATCATTTCCATACTAAAATTGGCAAAAGGAATATATCACCGAATGTACTGAAATAGCACATTGTAAATTTTCGATATCGTATCTATACTGAAACTTGTCAAAAGTAGTATGTCGGGAATTAATATTACAACGATACATCGCCAGACTATTGATCATGTATTGAAATTGACAAAAGGAATATATGAAGCGACAGTACTTAACCAGTACAGTGTCAGTAGATATTCAGTACTACGTTTATCTTGACATTGTTAACAGTAATTAACAGCGGATCAATTTTGAAATAGTACATTGGCAACGGATTGTCGATACAATTTCTATTACGGAAATTGACAAAAGATATATATGAAGCGACTGTATTGAACTAATGCAGATATTCAATATCATCTAGACTGAAATTTTCAAAAATGTGTTGATTCAAGTACATTTTTTTCTAAAATTATATGCATGTATATTATATCTATCAGACGTACAACATATTTTTTTTAGCAAATATAGATACAATATTTATATTGCACTGTTAGAAATGTTTTTTGTGGCGGTCAATTTGACACCACATATATTTCATGCTCAAAATGTGCGTGGTGATTAATTTGACACCACATATCTTTCATGCACTCGAAATATGCAAACTTCAAGGCAATTGTTTTAGCACATACATGAATCAACTCGCATAAAATTAATTTCGAAAATATTAATAAGCGGCTGATTTTCGCATGTTTGAAAAACGTCCAAACACGATATAAAAGGACCGCAAAATACGAGCATCGTCACTTCTGCTTTCTCCGTCTGGAGTTAAAGTTGAAGCTGTAATCTTTTTTGAATTGGCCATACGGCTTTTGCGGTATAAAGAATTGATACTGACTTTTTGTACAGTATTAGTACTGTTATAATATTAAAAATTGATATTAATGTTTGGTATTGTTGCAATATTATGAATCAGTAACGATTTTTGTTACAATATTGTTTCTGTTACGGTACTAAAAATCAATATCGATATTAGGTACAATATATGCACTAATTCTGGGTACTATTATAATATTGTAATCCCATACTGTAATAATATTCTATTATAATTTATTATAATAAAATGACTGAAAATCGGACGTGTGTAAAGGTGCATTATAAGAAAGGGCTCATATTATAAGAAAAGGTTAGATTAAGGAGGTTAACTCATTGTATCGCACGTGTGAATATTTAATTTAACTCTGACAAAACGCTTTATATTTAATGCTTTTATATTAAAATGTGATAAAATTAAAATAATTTACAATTTTTCTGTAACATTTTGCTATTTGATTATTATAAAATAACTTTAAAAAATTTTTAAAAGTACATATCTACCTTCTAATTTTTATTTTTATTACTTTTCTATTATATTTTTGTTAATTTAATATAGTTTATCATACAGGCAATTTATACTGTGATACCAATTTATCCCACATATCATAAGTTATAATGCAGCATGTATTTTATTTAGAGAAAATCAGGGCTAAGTTGGTACAGAAGCTGGCATTTGAATTTTGAGTAAAAATATAAAAATATTTCTTATGAGATCCCAATTTTATTGTAGATGACATTTTATGTGTCTTCTTTATCAACGAAATTTGGTTAAGTGTCGAGTTGTTATGTTTAGATTAGATAGTCAAACGTATTTTTGATAGTCAAAAGTAATTTTTCGAACGTTCAGACAATATGTATCCTAATAGTTCTTATTTTTTTAATTCAAAAATTGTTCAGATAAGTAAAAATGCATTCTAAACACGTTCTTTGTGTTATTTTTTTTATTTTCAGAATTATTTAAATTTTATTTATGTCAAAAGTTACAATATATATTTGGGACTAAGAGAGCACTAAGTCAGGTCTAAGTGAATATGAATATCATCTAACCTTGCGCGATTTTTTATTCACAATATTTTTATCATATTTTCGTGTTAATCACAGTATGGTTCGCAATTACAAGCCTAAAACTGAACTCCCATTAATAAAAATAGAATGTCTAGCCATCAAAAAAGATAATATGAAACTTGTATGAATGGGGAAAAAATTTGAATAAAAATTTATCTGATATGGAATCAGAAAATTCAAATTAAATATTCAAAATAAAATTTAATACAATTTTTGATATTTTGACTATAATGACGTGTTTTTATATTGCATCAAAAAAATATGGTGCCGATTTAGCCCCGGGGGGCTAAATGCGCACTTAGTTTCTGGCATTCTTTAGATTTCATTTTCAACTTTTAGATTTCATAATACAACTTATTTGTATCCATTATGAATTATATCTAATCTATATTCTAAATTTTTTTACATTTAATATTTAATATTTATTTAGTAATAAATATTAAATATTAAATGTAAAAAAATTTAGAATATAGATTAGATATAATTCATAATGGATACAAATAAGTTGTATTATGTCTTATATCTTATTTGTTATTACAGTTATATGTAATATTCATTTACAATATTTTTATTTCTATAATATTCAATATTTTTCTCCTGTTCTTAATTTTTTGTGCATTGATTTTATATATATATATATCTTGATGATGTCGCGCTAAAACGCTAAGCGTTTTCCTTAGCGCCGAGACATTATCTCTAAAAACGTATTTCTAAAAACAATAGATCATATTAAGTATTAGGCCACATAAGATTTGATAATCCTACTTCTAATATGTATATGTAAATCATACAGCATCCAGAGTGTCTTCCAATAGCAGTGAATTTGCGCGATAATTTCTATGGTCCTTTGGGTGTAAGGTGTTTGGAATTTCTCAGAAGCGGACCAGCTCCTAAGGAGGGCTGTGAATTTGGCCCGAGAGAACAATTATCCCAAGTGACCAGTTATTTGGATGCCTCCGTGGTTTACAGTAGTAATGCCATGCATAGTGACAGTCTGAGAATATTTCGGAATGGTAAGTGCACTTCAGTTCGATAGAAAAGGAAAAAGAGAAAAACGAAAAATATCTTTTCTAATACCTTAACAGTAACACTATTCTTTCGGCCTTCAATTTATATAATATTTTTATAGGATGCATAAAATCAGCTAAATCTGGACAAAACAATCAGTTTATTAAAACGTCATTTTATTCAGAAAAAATTTTTTATTCAGAAAATACACAAAAATTTTTTGATACGTTGCTTGAAGGACCCTCTCTGAATTTCCTCTCTGAATCAGTATAATCCCCGTTTGCTGCGATCACTGTATTAATTCCTTGTTTAAAGGACGCTCTCTTTAATTGCTCCTTGTTCATGACTGTTGTCTCAATAATGGCTTGAAAAGTTGTCATGTGTTGTTGGGGTGTTTGAATTTGTTAGACATTTTTTTAATAATGTCTCAAACGAAATAATCTAAGAGATTTAAATTTGAACTACTAGGAGAGCAGAATTCCTTGGACCAAAACATGTTCACGTTGTGAGAAAGCTAATTTTTTGCACTAAATGTCTTGCGTAAGTCGGTGCGCCATCCTATTGAAAAATATACAACCTTCCGTAGTTTCCATCTATGGATTTAGTACAGTTCTTAGAATCCAGAGATAAATTTCCTTCATGATTTTTCTTTTTTTTTTTAAATAAGGCAGTATGATGTATGTCATTCTCATTGGAGACGACACTTAGGACGTGAACATGCCGGAAACTTTGTTCTGGTTATTATGGGGACAATCTGGAGATTATGAGCGAGTCAGCGGTCGTTCCTCCGGCACTTTTGCGTCAGCAGTAAAAATCTTATTGGAAAAAAATCTGAAGCGACCTGCGGCTCCGTGCTTCAACAAATAAAGAAGCAAATTACAGCGGACAACTCTCTTGGCCTTAATATTCTCAGACAACATTTGCCATATCTTGAGTACATAAGACGTACAAATCCTCTTCGACGATTCGAAAGTGGTCATCTCACTCATCCTCAATATAGTAGACCCCAGGTAGACAATTTCCGAAGCGATACCCCTAAGTCTTCCGAAATGAGCTCTTGAGCTTTGAATGACAGCTGGGGTCCTTACAGTCTTTTTTCTTGAATAACTCTGATTCGTCGGGTTAGCAGAATCTTCTTCGGACTTCTTCACATTTGTATACTTTTGCGCAATGTAAAGGATCGAGCGTGGGTATCTGATGAATAATTTCAGTTGGCGAATGTCCGGCACGAAGCGCTTCAATTATCGCTACTCTTCAGTTGTACTTGATCTCATTAATTCTGATCTCATTAACTCATTTTGAGATTATACACGTTTCATATAAATATCTGAGCGCCAATAGTCGTCTACATTAAAAAAATATACAGGTTTTTTCAGATCGTAATAATCGGATTATCCTTTCAAAAAATAATAAACGGATATTTACGAATTATTTTGATCGGTAAAAAAATTCGGTCACATTTAATCGGAAATAGATTCATCGGAATGTGCGATGAGAAATATCTGTTTATTTTTTGAATGGATTATTCGATTGATTATGTCTGATTAAATATTTGCACGCATATATTTTTGATCGGATAACATTAAGGGGATGCTGGAGTGGCCAAATTACCGGAATTTTACCGATTGATATAAATCTCCAAATTTACTAAATGGAATCAAAATTCTTTTTACAGGATTAAAGTAGACACAAAATTTGGGAGTGCTACAATAGATTTTATACTAAAATCGGAAAAAAGTGAAAAACTTACATTTTTTCAGCTCAACTTCAAGTAGAGCTGTTATCTGACGTAGATGTTTCCTTGATACAAAAGCTTTATAGCTCATATGAACCACACGATAATGCATCACTCAGCGTAAGACATGTACAAACAATATTAAGTTCATGAAACTAAGCTAAAAGTTTCAAAAGAAAGATTTATATCGATTTACGAATAATGTGTATACGAACGCTGAGCGAAAACTCGGAATGATAAATAAAGCAATAGATGTGTCTAGCAGTAGATGTTCAATCTTCTAAAAGATGGCGTTGCAATATATTAGATAAAGACAGATAAATGCATCTGAAGGAGAGACACAACGATATGTAATAAGTATAAGAAATGAATGAAAGAAGTCATTACTACCGAATTTAGAATAGTTTTATCGGTAATACAGACGGCTCTAGCATCCCCTTAATGGACTAAATTATCCGATAGATCATATTTTTCCATTATGATCATAATAATGAAAAACAGAAAATATTGATTAAAAATTAAAACAATATTTAATGAAAATGAGATTAAAAGTCATGAGAGTAAAAGTCACTGTTTTTATATCCTGAATTTTAATATCATGGAAAATTTCGTCGCCATACATTTCTTTTTTTAATACGGACATTGCAGATTATATAAGGCCAAAAATAAGAATAAACCAAGAATACAGCAAAGAATAAGAAAGAATGTGCAATAAAAATCAAACGTCTCGTTAGAGACGTGTTCGCTTGGTGACCTCAATATCATTAGCAATGTATTACAAATGTATATTGTAGTAATGCCAGCCTACAGAGTTTATGGAAACAATCACTGATCATGTGACCAACTATTCTGTGATTGGTAACGCCTTCCAATTGATCGGTTATTTTTTCATCGGATATTTCATCGGATCGGACAGCATATGTAATTAAATATAAAACTTGATTGAATAAAATATTCTTTTTTATCCGTTCAAGTCTAATGTTCAATCAGATTATAGATTTATCTGATGAAATTTTAATTGATAGGCATACGACGTTCATATTTTATTCACATGTAATCGAAAATTACATTACAACGGATAAAGTTCATCACTTCAATCCTGAATCCGATCGAAATTGATCGTAGAAAACATTAGAACGATTATTTCCGATCAAAAGCACTGGACATTTATTGCAGTGTGCTAAAGTTACCATGTAACGAAAAATTCAAATTAATTCCAACCGAATTAAACTGGTCCTGTATATAGTATTTAACTCGTGTAGTATTTTTTTAGTATTTGGAATGTAGAATCACATAAAAAAGGAATTATGTCCTGAGGGAGTCATTCAAAGTTATTGTTATTTTTAAGTAAAAATCGGAAAATCTGTATATCCGCATATAAATTGAATGAACGCCAGTAGGAGTATATAGCAGGTTTTAAGCCAGAGATCTGAGGAGACGTGAGTGTGTGAGAGAGGGGGGGGGGGGTAGGCGCGAGGAATTAGCGCGGAAAAGGTTCCCGGCTGTATTATTGTTTACATAAACATAGGACTCTGAATATTACTGTTTATGTAAACATAGGATCCTGAACGACAGATTAATGCGTATTTTTTTCGCTGCCGCCGCTGTCGCCCCGCACCCATCCCAAAATGCGTTATGGTATTATATATATATATATA